AATTCAGGGATTCGATCAAACATCTCATCATATGTTCCCATTCGGGCGTAACTTCCTTAAAATTAGGCAATATCCAATATTGACAAAAGTCCCGAGTGCGCTGCTTTATTTCCTCGAGACTGCCGCGGCAAAAATTGTACCTGAGGGAATTATACCAATATAAAAAATTTAGAAAGGACATTCTAAAACATTACGCCTATAATTTTTACTAGCACTAAGAAAATACATACTTATCCTCCATCCCGAGAAAATATCCGTAACATCTCCACATATAGCAAAAGGCCTCGATGTCTTCATCGGTCGCGTTATGTATTCCGATCTTTTGCGGGCAAAGCAAAACTAAATTTATGAAACTCCACTGTGTTCCTGCCAGGTCAAAGTTATTTATACCTTTCGGTTTGTATGGCGACTTGCTAATGATGACATAAGGACGTTGTCCATCTTTCTCAAGTGGACACGCCGCGTTGAAATCCTTTAGAAACAACTTGTGATCCGGGCACCACAGCTCTGGGATTTTGGACTCGTTGTCGATTTGCTCGTGATCGAGTTCGCGCAATTTTGACTGTATCATTAAATGCATTTTACGTGCAAATTGCATGTCTTTATAGGCTGGCGTTCCTTCAACCCAAGGCTCTCCATCGTACCAACTAATGAATCGTTGTATGGTCGAAGTATATCTTGCAAGTTAATTACATTGTTAGGATCAATTTAACAAAAAAGCACATATTAATTGGTAATACTATGTCACAAAATTAGCATATAATACCGTATAATAATGGTGTATTAAATGTAATCAAGAGAAATAATATAAAAATAATATTAATAATTTATATTAATGCTAATAAAAAATAAAATAAAATAAAAATCTATAACATTGATAAATGTAATAATGTACTAAATAACATATAGCAAATAATTTTGTAAAAAATTGATCGCGTTTAACAGAAAAAGCAAAAAAGACAAAAAAAAGCTTTGCAATAGTTTGGTTTTTGATTGAGGATAGCACCCGATTGACCACGTTACGATTGAACATAAACCAATCACAGCGTTTAAAACTAGAAATCTCTAGGCACCGGAAGCTGTGAGTAGCTGTGTCCAATCGTAACATAATCAATCGAAATCCTTCTTTTGATTGGTATGATTGATTCTTGCTCTTATATAGCTTAATACTGGATCTAAATGTATAAACCCATCACATTAATGAATCATGCAAAGCTGCTGACTTTGCTGAACGCAATTATTAAATATTCTCATCGAATATTTAATTTGCTATTGAGCTATTTTGTCTTTCTATCTCTCTAGCTCAAAGTATTCTTTGCAAAATATATCACCGGAACTTAATTTAATATTAAATTAAATTGAAAAACATTATACTTTTTGAATGCTGTATATGGCGTTTGAGAGCCCTTTGATACGATTAACGGTTTTATAAACTCGTGGAAGGAATACACTTGCATAAAGCTCAGTATTTTGGCCAAGAAAAGTGACGCAAAATTTTCACACACAAATCTCTGCCCTCTGCGATATTTATCCATGTCCAACCATTCGGGTATTGGCGGTAACTGATTGCAATCTCCTGGGTGATAAAGGGCCGGAATAAAATCTAACAGTGATTTTGGTACGTTCGGAAAGAATATGGCGATGTTATCGTTTATCCACTCGTACTGC